TAGCCCACCTCCTCCCCCTGAGAGCCCACCTTCACCTCCTCCTGAGAGCCCACCTCCTACTCCTGAGATAACCCACCTCCTCCTGAGAGCCCACCACCTCCTTCTGAGATAGCCTACCGCCTCCTTCTGAGATAGCCCACCTCCTCCTGAGATAACCCACCTCCTCCTGAGAGCCCACCACCTCCTCCTGAGATAGTGCATCCCCTCCCTGGTTGTCTCCAATACCATCTTGTTCCCTGTCCACAGGTACATGAAGTATCTTTACCCCTATGAGTGTGAGCGACGAGGCCTTAGCAGCCCCAATGAGCTCCAGGCCGCCATAGACAGCAACCGCAGGGAGGGCCGGCGCCAGAGTTTTGGGGGCTCACTTTTCGCCTATTCACCCAGTGGAGCCCACAGCATGCTATCCTCACCCAAGCTACCAGTAACTTCTCTGGGCCTTGCCGCCAGCACCAATGGCAGCTCCATCACCCCAGCACCCAAGATCAAGAAAGGTAAATCACGGGAAGGAATGAGGTTATCCTTTTATTTATGGGTAACTGTGAGAAATGTGAGTTAGCGGGAAAGGGTCCCTGTCTGTTCCCAAGGCAGACATTACTAATTGAGTTCTGGTTTTCATGTCCACATAAGGGCAGTCATTATGAGTTGAGCACAGCACCCTTTCTAAGTCCAGCATTGTTAGTCAGTGGTAGCATCAGTCTCTTGTGCATGGCAAACATTACCTCTCTTTCCTTCTGTCCCCTAGAGACCTCTGGCCCATATCAGAACCACCAGACATGGGCAGAGTGTCTGTCATGATCCTTTGAGCCACCTTAACTGTAGTGCTGAGTACCCTCCACAACTTGTTGATGCTTTCTGAGCTTGGCTTACCTGTCAAGAGACGTGAGGCCCAAGTCCATGCTTTCTTTTATTTCGAGACAGGGTTTCTCTGCAGCTTTGGAGTCTGTCCTGGAACTAGCTCTTGTAGACCAGGCTGGCCTCGAACTCACACGGCGCGCGCCACCACTGCCTGGTGTTCATGCATTCTTATCTTAATAAGAAAGCACCTATTTTGGCCTTGCAGTGGTGGCTGTGGGGTCGATGATGGCCTTCTTCTCTGCTGAGGCTCTTGAATTCTTCCCAACACACACGGCGCGAAGGCAGTAGCTCAGTGGGTAGCGCGCTCGCCCAGCGAGCCAGAACCCTGAGCGCCATTCCAGCAGCAGAGTAGCGTGGGGTGGTGGTAGACACCTATGAGGCCAGCCTTGGCTACACGGGGAGCAGGGGGTGCAGACTTTGCAGGGATTGCGGAGTCTCCTCCCACCTTGGTGGAGGCGAAGCCAGCTCTTCCCCAGGACCCTCCTGACCCTTTGCTCTTCTTCTGTCTAGAGGAAGACTCCACCGTTCCCATCACAGTCCCCGGCCGCCTCCCTGTGTCTCTGGCAGGCCACCCCGTGGTGGCAGCTCAGGCCGCTGCCGTGCAAGCGGCCGCAGCCCAGGCAGCTGTTGCAGCCCAGGCAGCCGCCCTGGAGCAGCTCCGGGAGAAGCTGGAATCCACTGAGCCTCCAGAGAAGAAGATGGCCCTGGTGGCCGACGAGCAACAGCGTCTCATGCAGCGAGCTCTTCAGCAGAACTTCCTGGCCATGACGGCCCAGCTGCCCATGAACATCCGGATCAATAGCCAAGGTACCCTGAGCTTGGAACCCTCCACATTCCATGGGTGCCTTGGACCATTCTATGTAAAGAGTCATACCAATCAGACAAGGTCCTCTAGGGCTAGTACATTCATGGGAAACTCGAGTCTGTCTTGTTGGGAAGCTGCGAGTTCCAAGGAGGTGTTAACATCCGCCAGCTCCGTTTCACACGGAGCCCTTGGGGTCACACGCGGTGGTGCACACCTGTTAGCCCAGCAGGAGGCTGAGCTCCATCGTGATACCTGCTCGTGAAAAATAAATAGTAAATAAATAAAACAACCCCATCAAAAAATGTAGTACAGTCTTATAAAGAAAGCAGACAGGAAGCAAGCCACTCCCCAGGTGTACCTCTGACCTGAATGGTGGCTCTCTTGTCCCCGCAGCCTCCGAGAGCCGCCAGGACTCAGTTGTGAGCCTCACCAGCGCCAACGGCAGCAACAGTATTAGCATGTCAGTGGAGATGAATGGTATCGTGTACACAGGTAAGCACAGGGGTCCCTGCTGCCAGCGCCACAGCCGCCACCATGGTCCTGCTATCGAGGCTTTGCTACTCTCAGCCGCTTTCTCTCAGGGCCTGGGGGGAGGATATAGGGCACCTGTGGGAGTCGGTGTTCTCCTTCCCTGACTCAGGACATCCAGGTTGGCAGCCAGCGCCTTTGCCTACTGAGCTGTCCTGCTCGCTGGTCCTTGTCTTTGTTTGTTTTTTTCAAGACAGGGTTTCTCTGTGTAACAGTCCTGGCTGTCATAGACCTTGCTTTGTAGACCAGGCTGGCCTCGAACTCACAGAGACCCGCCTGCCTCTGCCTTTCAGGTGCTGGGATTAAAGGCGTGCGCCACCACTGCCTGGCACATACTGATCTTTTGAGACAATGCATCTTGGCTGGCCTTGAGCTCCCTCTGTAGCCCAGGCTGGCCTCACCCCCTCCTCTACACTGTTCAGTAGATAAGCCCAGCCCTGTGACATGTCCCCCCACTTTGTCCTTGTTTTAGGAGTTCTGTTTGCTCAACCACCGCCCCCCACACCACCTTCTGCCCCCAGCAAAGGTGGCATTACCGGCATCGGTACCAACAACGCCGTGGGTAGCCGAACAGGAGCCAGTGGCGGGACCAGCAGCGGCCAGGTGGGGCTGGCCGGGGCGTCTGCGCCCCCCACATCTTCTACCTCAAATAATTCCTTGCCTTAAAGGAAATCAAGTTGTACTGCTTGCCCACCCGCCATGGAGACCACATAGCCACACTGGGACCTGGAACATCGTAAGAATTCCAGCGGGCCGGGCAGATTCCCAAGGAGCCACACTGACGCCAAAAAGGAGAAAAAAAATTATATATATACATATAGAGAGAGCTAGATAGATAGAGAAACAGATTTAATAAATCAGGGCAAAGAACACTTGAATCTCTCAGGTTTTAGAGACTTTGAGAAACGGATTTCACAAGGGCCACCAAGGCCCCTCAAAGCTGAATGAAGGAGGCCACCTTTCCAGAGGCTTCCATGGGGTCCGGCTTGACCAACCTAGTTCAAGCATGTCTGTTTACCTCATGAGTCCCCGCACTGTGCCCTCTCTCTCTCCTTCTGGGAAGGCCGGGATGGCGGTTTGCTTCATTCTCCTTGGAAGCTATGAATTTTTTTTTTTTTAAACGAGATCTCAACATTCAGATGCAATTTTTTTTTTAAGGTTTTGGGGTTTCCAATTTTGTAAATATTCTATTATATTCTTGAGGGCAGGGATTGGATTTTAGGAAGAGTCCTATCTGTATATCTATATATTTGTGTTCATTCAGGGAAAAGGACAATTTTTTTTTTTTAAGCAAAAGTACCAGCCATGGCCCCCAGCCCCTGTCACCACAGAGCCCCCGCGGTATCCTGTGGTAGAGTCAGGCAGTGCTGGCTCTCAGCGAATTCCACAATTCTCTCTAGTCATGCTGGGCCCTGCCCACTGGCTCCATCATTCAGGGACCTGGATTGCTTACCCAGGACACGAAATCTAGAAACGGGTAGGGGGGGGCAGCACACGGAATGCAGTGGCCTCCTGTATCTCAGGGATGAAGATCTGGACTCTGGATGGGTCGCTTCTAGAGGAGATGGGGTGCACCAGGCCCAGCTCAGGGCAAGGATTCTTGCTGAGACACACACAGTGCCTCCTCCTGTCTGTATGACCCTCCCCTCCCTCTGCTGCTGGGACAGCAGTTGAATGTGACCAGGAAGGATCCTGGTCTGGTGTCTCCATACCACAGTTTAGCTAAGCTGAGCCCGGTGGCAGGCATCGGCATCGTCACGCTGGCTCCTGGGAGGGTGAGGCAGGAGGATGAGAGTTCAAGGTGATATCCTTGGCTGCAAGTGCAGGTTGAGGCTGACCTGGGCTATTTGAAACCCTGTCTCAACAAAGCAAAGTATGATGAGGCCAGGGGCAGTGGCCACACCTACTCCAGCCCTCTGTGAGTAGGCCAGCCTGGACGATACAGTGGATTCCAAACCGCGAGAACCTGTCTCAAAAAGAAAGAAAAGAAAATTGCATCTCGTTTTATCTGGAACCACCAGGGCAGAAATGATGTAATCTCCCGCTGGATTGGGGGACCTTTCCTGGACTCTGCTCTGGTCACTGTCCCCAAGGGAGCTGGGACAGGACCATCTGGTGGCAAGAGCTGGGCCCTGCTTGTCCCTCAGCCCCAGGATCCTGGATCCCCTGTCACCCCACTTCTATGTCTTGACTGTGGGGAGCAAACCCTCTTCTTTCCTGTCTCAGGGTTGTTGACACCCCTCCCATCCTTCCAGGAGGGACGCCTTGCTCCGAGGGGAGGGGAAATCTCAACTTTTCCTTCTGGAAGCTTCTGCCTGCCCCGTTTTGGGGCCACTGTTAGCCGCACAATCATTCCTGGTCACAGTGTTGAGGGGTTTGTCCCCTTCTGACAACTCTGTGCAAAGTCAGCCTCCGTCCGTGAGTACCTGGCTTGGGGAGACGGGGGCCCAGCCTCCTGTGTCCCTGGTGGGGTCTGATCGAGGGGGTCGCCTTGTGGGCACATCCAAGGCATGTTTCTACCTCAGGTCTTTTGATGCCAAAAAGAAAAAAAAATGCAGCCGAGTCACCCACTTTTCTGACCACCTGCGCGAGTCCACAGTGAGGACCAGTGTCCTGATGTGCACTTGTGTCTGGGTCTGTGAGTGGCCAGAAAGCACCCAATCCTAACTCAGGGGGCCTTGCCCACCAGGGCTGTGTGATTGTAGGGGCGTATCCTCTGCTGGACACTCTCGGTGACCCTCCATGGTCAGGTCTGTGCCTCAGTTGCCCCACCCGGCCCTTGGCAGGAGGTACAGTTGGCACTTGTTATGCAAGCTGGAGTGTGGGCAGGGCTGGACATGGTCACTGTCCACCTAGCACCTCAGGGCGAAGAGGGGGGTGTAAGGGCAGGCATAGGCTGCTTCTAGAACCTTCCCAGGGACAGGCTGTTTCTACAACTTTCCTGGTGGCCCTTCTGCTGGCCACCAGGCTGTCTGTCTGTCCAGCTGCAGTGGGTGGGTGGGCATGGGGCTTGGGGACAGCTGGGTTCGTGTTTTCTGAGAGTTATACATCTGTATAGTCTTGTGGGGTTTTTTTTCCTTTTTTTTTTTGTATCATTTTTACACACTTCTTTTTTTTTTCCCACACCCCCACATAATTTTGGCTTTTGTGAATTTAAGTTTCCTTCTGGGTGAAGGTGAACTGAACCTGCTTGTTCAGAACATGTGAACTTTTTGGTTTCTTGGGGTGGGAACGACTTGTCTGACAGTGTGGGGTCCTACACCAACTCAGGTAAAATGAAAAAAAAAAGTGGATTAAAAAAATAAAAGAAAAAGTTAAAACTGCTTTCTACCTCTCACGCCAGACTGTGACCTGCGGTGGCCACAGCTGTGCGGGATATTCAGGAAAGTTTCCGCCAGGCTGGCCTGCTGTGGCCACAACTGTGCAGGATATTCAGGAAAGTTCAGCTATTACCAGGAAAACTCAAACATAGCAACAGCAAAGGAAGTGTGATTTTTGAAATTATTAAAAGAAAAATACCACTGAAAGTTTACATTTTATGACCTTATTGTGGATTGTATTTAAACCTCAGAAATATTTAACGAGATTGTAACCCTGTGAACTGGTAAGATTAAAAGAGTTCAGACACCTCTGTGGAAGAGTGGCTCCCTGATGGTTTGGGGGCTTTGGGGGGGTTGATGGGTTGCGTGGAGGGGACCCCAGCAGATGGGAGTGGCTAACAGGACTGTGGAGGACACGCCCCAGCCAGTCTCTGCTCTCTCCTTTCGCCTGCTTCCACCGTGTGGGTCCTAGGCACTGAACTCAGGTCATGGGAGCAGGGAATGAGTGTCCCTGCCTGCTACACCATCTCCGTGGCTACTGTTTCTTTTGTTCAGGAAAAAAATAAAAATAACAAGCCGGGACTGTAGTGGCACATACCTTTAGCCCCAGCCAGCACTCAGGAGGCAGAGGCAGGCGGGTCTCTGAGTTCGAGGTCAGCCTGGTCTACAGAGTGAGTTCCAGGACAGCCAGGGCTACATAGTATGACCCTGCCTCGAACACCTCCCGTTTACATTTGGAGAATTTCATACAATGTATGTTGACCATTTTCTTTTGATACAGGGTCTCACTCCACAGTCCTGGCTGGCCTAAAACTCCGCACAGAGATGGGCATGCCTCTGCCTCCCGGGTACTGGGATTAATGGTGTGAAGTACACAGGACATGCCCCGCCCCCACCTGGGAACCATCCCTCTGTCCCCACCCTCAGCTCACCTTGGGACATCTTCACTCCATCTTTGCCCCTTGGGCTACTTGCACGTGACTCTGACACTTCTCCCTCCCCAGCAGCCAGGTGGAGGCCTTGGAAGCCTGCTAACTACCCAGGTCTCCCCACCCCCACCCCGTGTCATGCACCTGTCACCCCCAGGGGCCAGAGCCCCTGGCAGCTTTCCCCAGCCCCCAGCCCTCTCCCAGACTCAGGCGCACTCCTGCCTTAACCTCCAGAGGACTGAGATCAGAGGCGTGTGCCATGTGCCACCACCGCTCCCAGCTTGACGGCTGACTTCATGCTGGTGTGTTCCTCAGTGGGCAACAGAGAGGTTCGCTGGGTGGATCTTGACAGGCGGTGACGGCTCTGGTGACAGCTCAAGGGTTTGAGTGGAGAGAGGATCCCTGAATGTCAGTCACAGCCAGGGGACTCAGGAGACTGCATGACTCAAGGTAATTGAGGCCAGGTGGACAGGCCCAGACCTTGGCCACCTGACTCTCATCCTGCCTGCTCTGGCCAAGTCTGGCCCAGGCTGGTCCCTCCCCAGGTCACTGACAGAAAACCGCAGCTGGCTCCTACTGGCCCCTGCCCCTGAAACCTACTTCTGCCCCTGCCACGCCTGGGGGAGAGAGAACTTAGCAGCCCTGAGTGTCTCACAGCCGGGCCCCACCCGGTGACCCACAAAACTGTTCTGAGTAGACTAGAATTTGAAGAGAGTCCCTGAGCATTCCCCAGATGGTGGGTTGGTTTGTGGATCCCACAGGGAGAAGGTGGAGGCTGGAGCTGGGTGGGCACTGGCAGAACGGAGCAAGAGAGCCTTTCTATGGGTGGAAGGCGCTAAGGCTGTCTGTGCCTCAGTTTCCCCTGATTCGGATCCTCCACACCATGCTGTGCCCTCCATTTTCTCAGAGGTCTAGCAACTGGGTGGTCCTGGGTGCCCAAGTGTGGCTTTTGTCCTCATAGCTGACACAACTGGACTGTCCTCATTCCAGGGGCCGGCTGGGGGCGGGCTGACCCCTAACCTCTCAGTGCGCCTGGCCGCCCACCCCCAGGGAAGGGGAGAGTAGCCAGGTCTCCACAAGGGAGGCCTTCCCCAGCTGCTGACCAGCAGTCTCTGTTCCCATCTGGAGTCCTAAAGTGGAGATTAAGGAACCTTGTAGGCCTGACCGTTCCAGATAAGGACGTACCTGGGGCCTGAGGCTCATGAACCTGTCACTGCTGGGTCTTCTAAGCAACCCCCTTAGGGAGGCCTGGATTTCTACAACGGCCTCACCCCCTCACCCAAGTGGAACTCAGGACCAAGTTCAAGCCCCAAGTTGGCTCTTGGCACCTCCACCCTTCTTTCTGTTGAGAGCAAAACCCAGGCCTTCAGGATTACCCCCTATATCTTTCATCTTGAATGTCTTTTCTTAAAAATTTGACACAATCCGGGCGGTGGTAGCGCACACCTTTATCCCCAGCACTCAGGAGGCAGAGGCAGGCGGATCCCTGTGAGTTTGAGGTTAGCCTGGTCTACAAGAGCGAGTTCCAGGACAGGCTCCAAAGCTTCAGAGAAACCCTGTCTGATAATAAAACAAAATAATTGACACAGAGTCTCATGTGACCTGTGTGCTTGGGCAACACCCACGTCTGCTTTTTGGGGTGCTAGAGGTGAACCCCAGGGTTTTGTGCATGCTGGGCCCACCTCTACCACCTGTCCCCTACCCCTTTTCTCTTTGTGAACCCAGGTTCTGTGTCTCTTATTTTATTGTTATTTTAATTACATATGCATGTGTTTATGTAGGCATACATTTGCTTGCAGCTTGCATGCAGGTGCCTTTGCGTGCCAGAGGTGTCGGATCCCCTGGAGCTGGAGTTGGTGGTGATTGGGAGCCACTCTGGCACAGGAGCTAGGAACTGAACCTGGGTCCTCTGCAAAAGTAGCAAGGGCTCTGACCACCAGCCATTTTCACGTGTCTCTTCCTATTCACACTTTAGCACTAAAAGTTGGGTCTCAGGATCGCAGCGGTCTGGGTCTCAGGAAGTTGAGGCAAGAGAATCTGATGGGTTTTTTTTTAATTATTTAATTTTACTTTAATTTTACTTTATACGCATTGGTGTGAGGGTGTCAGATCCCCTAGAACTGGAGTCACAGTTGTGAGATGCCATGTGGGTGGTGGAAATTGAACCTCGGTCCTTTGAAAGAACAGCCAATGTTCTTATCCTCTGAGCTATTGCTCCAACCTGGAGTTTAAGGACAGTCTGGGCTACATGAGTCCTGGAATATGAATTCCCTCCCTCCCACGATCCAGTAACACACAGGTTGTGTCCTCTGATGCTTTCTTTCTTTCTTTCTTTCTTTCTTTCTTTCTTTCTTTCTTTCTTCCTTTTTTTTTTTGTTGTTGTTTGTTTTTTGTTTTTGTTTTTTCGAGACAGGGTTTCTCTGTGGCTTTGGAGTCTGCCCTGAAACTAGCTCTTGTAGACCAGGCTGGCCTCAGACTCAAAGAGATCTGCCTGCCTCTGTCTCCCTATTGCTGGGATTAGAGGCGGCGTGCGGCACCACCGCCCGGCTCTCCGATGCTTTCAAAGGCAGCTCCACATCCTCCACTCTGCCCTAGGACTTTGTCCGTGTCATGTTTCCCTGAGTCTCTTGCTCCAAGCGGGTGCCCCTTCTTCTGACTCTTGTAGGCTGCCCTATGTGGATCTCCTCCGCGTTCTTCACGTCCCCGCAGCTTGTGCCTGCCATCTGGTGGCCGCATTAAGTGCCATTCTCCACCCCAACTGTCTCCTCTGCTCGGAGGACGCGGAGTCCCAAGTTGGCACCCGGCATGCACCTCCCTCCCCTGGGAGGCCCAACAGTGGCTCAAAACCTCACCGGTGCGGCGTCCAACCCTGCTTCCCCGGCTGATACAGAGCTCCGGACAGCCACATCCACGGCTGCAAGACTCAACACTTGCATCCGTTCTCCTTTACTAACAGCACATTAGGGAAAAAAACCAAAACTACAAAACCCCTTGGTTTGAAACCTGGCCTACGGCCAGCAGGCTGTGACCTGAGACTAAAAGTTGTTTGGCTGGAGACTGACTTGTTGGGTCTACACCGAGTGAACCGAATACAAATGTGAAATTTATGACGCCAAAGAGGAAAGGTCACAGAGGAGGCGAATCAATAAAGGATGTGGTCAATCAGTACGCGTTTAATCACCAAAGCGACGCCCTGGCCAGACGTGTTATCCTTGGTGTGTATGTAACCTGATCTTACATGAGTAACTAATTTCTTTCGGACTAAATAAAGCATAAAGGTCGGTTTTTTATATTTTTTTGCCTTAAAACAAAGTTTAAAAAGTAAGCCGGCCATGGTGACAGGCTTGTCATCTCAGCACGCAGGAGGCTGAGACAGGAACTGATCGAGGACTAGAGTGTCTCCAGACGAAAAAAATCAACTGTAAAAGTTTGAATCATTTGAGCCAAAACACCCAGCAGAACCGGCGAAAATCTCTAGTCACTCTGCATAGCAATCGCCTCTGATCTGAGGTCCACAAATCCTGCGAGCAGTCAGCGGGAGCAAGCACCGAGAGCGCGCGCGTGCGCGGAGCGGCTGGTCCCCCACCCCCACCCCGAAGAGCCCGCGTGGCGAGACCCCGCTCCCTTCGCGCCAGCAGCCGAGCTGGTACGCATGCGCAGGGCGTGCGGCGGCTCCGTCCCCACCGCGGCGAACGTTGTACGCGTGAGCATAGGAACTCCGCCCCCTCGCCACGACGAAGCTACTGCGCGTGCGCACGCTCTCCCGTTCGGCCGCTAGGAGACGCTCTAGCCGGCCGGGAGCTATAGTAAGAGTCTCGCTAGGGATGACGGGATTCAGAGGCGGGGCTGCCCGTTCAAGATGGCGGCGCCCATGGAAGTGGCGGTGTGTACGGACTCCGCGGCTCAGCTCTGGAGCTGCGTGGTGTGGGAGCTTCATTCGGGAGCCAACCTGCTCACCTACCGCGGCGGACAAGCGGGGCCGCGGGGCCTGGCGCTGCTCAATGGCGAATACCTGCTGGCGGCGCAGCAAGGCAAGAACTACATCTGCGCCTGGGAGCTGCAGCGCAAGGTGCGTGGCCTCAGCATCCGTGGGGGCCAAGGGACAGTCGCGAGGCCTGGACGCGCTGTAGTTGGGGTCACCCGACCCGGGGTGCTGTGTGATGCTGGCATCCTGGCGGGCCTGGTGCAAAGGCGCCCCGAGAGTTCCGCGCGCATGCTCTGATGATCTGTGGCGAATCAACGTTTGCTCACTTCTGGTCAAATTTTGATGCAGAAAGTAAAGTGGGGTCCGATAGAAGTCGTGCTTTTGGAGGACATGACAGATCAGTTCTTGGGAAGAGATGGAGTGTTTGCAAATGCTCTATTGCCCTCTTATTTTCGGGGGGAGGG